GCGTCAAGCCCCGAACCGCGTTGCGCATGCGGGGGCCTGGGGCGCGGGCTCACAGAAAAGGCTGGAGCCGTGGCGGTTGCAGACCGCGCGGCCCTCCATCGCTCTACGATTACTGTCCAAGAACCCACCACCATCATCATCATCATCATCATCATCATCATCATCATCATCATCATCATCATCATCAGCATCATCATCATCATCATCATCATCATCTTCATCATCATCAACATCAACATCAACATCAACATCATCATCATCATCAACAACATCAACATCATCATCATCATCATCAACAACAACAACATCAACATCATCATCGTCATCGTCATCGTCATCGTCATCGTCATCGTCATCATCATCATCATCATCATCATCATCATCATCATCATCATCATCATCATCATCATCATCATCATCATCATCATCATCATCATCATCCGCTCGTCCTCCTCCTCCTCCTCCTCCTCCTCCTCCTCATCCCGCTCCTCCTCCTCCTCCGTCTCCAGCTCCTACCGATTCGATTGCGGTTCTCCTATCTTCCAGTTCCTGCGCCTATCTTTCCGACTCGTGCGATCGCCTCTCCGACTCCAGATGCAAACATCGCACCCACATCTCGCATCGCCTCGCCTCGCCTCCTCCTCCTCCTCTTCCTCCTCCTCCTCCTTTTCCTCCTCCTTTTCCTCCTCCTTTCCCTCCTCCTCCTCCTCCTCCACCTCCTCCTCCTCCCCCCTTCTCGGCGCGTGCCTTTTAACGTTGTCCTCCTCCTCCTCCTCCTCCTGCCTCCCTCGCTGTCGTCCTCACCCCTCCTCCCTCTCTCCAGCGCTGCCCCAGCGACAGGAGCCGTCGCATCCTGCTCGAGGATCGACGGTGGACGATTCGGATGCCAGAGCGTGCTCGGGCCCCTGCTGGATGACACAGTTCCTGGGAGAAAGGAGACCTACAGAGGATTCTTGGCAATTGTTCGCCCCCCCCCCCTCCCCCTCCTCCTCTGGAGTGGGGGGAGGGGCGGGGCGTCCTCCTTTTCATCCTCCCCCTCCTCCTCCTCCTCCTCCTCCTCCTTCTCGTCCTCCTCCTCCTCCTCCTTCTCTCCTCCTCCTCCTCCTCCTCCTTCTCGTCCTCCTCCTCCTCCTCCTCCTCTTCCTCCTTCTCGTCCTCCTCCTCCTCCTCCTCCTCCTCCTCCTCCTCCGCCTCCTCCTCCTTCTCGTCCTCCTCCCCCCTCCTCCCCCACCAGGGCCCTCCACGGGCCCTTGGGCTGCCAAAAAAATGGTCGGGATAAGGAGCTGATCCTGGGCAAAGGCCCAAGGTGTCTCTGGGGCGCCGTTGGCTCTTGCTAGGCCGCCGGAATATTCGCCTCGCTCCTCTAGTCGACGTGGGCACATGTTGCGCTGCAGGAAACATGTATCCGGGCGAATTAGATCTACAGCTCAGTGGGGAGTGCGATGACACGGTCCCGTCGCCGATGCTTGGGCGTTCGAGTGCCGGCGGGGTGGTGCATCTGCATCCTATATGTTAGGGGGGAAGAAACATGTGGGTCCGAGTGCGCCAGTCGCAACCCACCCGCAAGGACGCCACAGAGTCACAGGGCCTCGTGGGATGCCGGTGGCACGACCGCCAGCTGCGACCCCGTGGGGAGTCGGAAGGGGATAAAATCGGGCGAGGATAAATCGAGAATCCCTGAGATCAGGCGGCTCTGGAGGATGTCGCGGGCGCCGCGGCCTTCTCAGGGCGTTCCAGAGCACTCCGAGAGCGTTCCGGAAAGCTCCGAACGGAGTTGTCCTCGTCCTCGCCCCGTCCGACGGGGCGCTCCGCCGAATGGCGGCCGAGAGAGGAGCCTCGTGCTCGAAGCGGCCGCGGGCCATCCGAAGGCAACTGGGGCGTGTTGAGGCCCAGTAACACGACCGGTGCTGACCCCCCCCTTTCGCGACAAGGGGTGCGTCGCGCGTTCGTCGCCCGTGCGCCGCCCGTGCGTCGGCCGCCGAAAAAGCTGGCCGTCCTCGCGAACGTGCGCGTCGCCCTCGCACGGGAGCACTTTGGCACGTGCGTCGCCAGGTGGGCGGCGGGCGGGGAGCCGTGCGGCTCCCAGCGTTGTCGAGAGGCGGCGCGCGCCTCGGCGGCGCTGCCGGCGCCCCGTTGCGCCGCCGCCGGTGGCAGGGCAGGGTGCCCCTTGGGCCGCCGCTGTCTTTGGTAGGGGATCGAACTCTATGCACCGACGCTCTTTCCCAGACCGTGGTGTTTCACCCCCCGCGAGAACGAATCAGCCACTTGAGAGACGCTTGCCTCCGCAGTTGTCCCGCAGTTGCCCCCGCACGAGGAAAGCGAGCAGGAGGAGGAGGAGGAGGGCGAGAGCTTTCAGGTCCCCCAGGGAGCGGAGATCGCTCTCTCCGGCCCTGCATTGAAATTTGTACTGGGGAGCGGATCTTGGTGTATACGGGACCCTGGTGTATACATGTTTCGTCGCTTCCCCGGAACATCAGGGAAAAAAGTATACGCCACACCACCCCAGCGTCGTCCCCGACCCTCAAAAAGTCGTGGGATTGAAAAACAGCCCGCCACTGGTAATGTATATGCTCCAGCTTCCGATGTGGAGGGTATCATTGAGCCCGTACCCCCACGGATGGCTTTCTTCGAAGCATTCCAGATGCCGTGGGCAACGACGTTATGGGCAGACCAACAGCACTGCCGCCAACTCCAGCGACCACATGCAAAGAGGCGCCGACAGTACTCGCCCAGCCGCCTCTGGCCAAGCTATAATCGGCGGTGGACAAACCTCCCTATAGTAAACCTCCCCTTAGTGAAAACGGCCTGGGACCGAAACCTGCGGGCCTGGACCCGCAAAAATTACGGCCGTGACGCCCTCTGGCGAACCGAAAACGGCCAATTCCTTAATCGACGTGTCAGGGTAGGAGGTCTGTCCACCCCCGATATAAGACCCATCGCAGGAGACTCCTGATCAGCCGTTCGTGGGAGCGCTCCGGGGCGGTCTCCTCGGCCCCACTGTGCAGTCAACCCGTATCGTGAGGACGCACGGTGAGAGTGCAAGGGCCTCGGTGGGCCATGCTGGCGGTTTCTCGAACGAGGCTGGCAAAAGAACGTCGCTAAGGATGGGCCGAAAGGGCAAGGATTCAAGGGCACCCTTGGGAAGGCTGCCCATTCTCGCTATGCGGCCCGACTGTACAGCCGGCCTTGATTGGACAGGACACGCGAGAGGACACAAGACCCTTCCGAGGGCCACATCGCCATGGGAGTGTAAGAGGGCACGCGTCGCGAGGCACAGGACACAAGGGCTCCCTTGAGCTGGTAGGGTCGACCCACGAATCCGGCCCGACTGCAGTCGGCCCCGTCGTCGCGCATCCACGGGAGGGTGCTCCACGAGCACGGACGAAGCAGAAAGCACCAGCGAGGAGGAGGAGGAGGAGGAGGAGGAGGAGGAGGAGGAGGGTGCTCCACGAGCACAGACGAAGCAGAACGCACCAGCGCCTCCCTGGCCACCCCGGCCGGCGGGCCCAGCGGGCGGGGCTCCCGATCCCACCGGCTCTCGGGGCGTAAGTGGCTTCGGGAGCCCATTCTTCCATCCCCCTCCTCCTCCTCCTCCTCCTCCTCCTCCTCCTCCTCCTCCTCCTCCTCCTCCTCCTCCTCCTCCTCCCTCCTCCTCCTCCTCCTCCTCCTCCTCCTCCTCCTCCTCCTCCTCCTCCTCCTCCTCCTCCTCCCCCTCCCCTCCTCTCCTCCTCCTCCTCCTCCTCCTCCTCCTCTTCCTCCTCCTCCTCCTCCTCCTCCTCCTCTTCCTCCTCCTCCTCCTCCTCCTCCCTCCTCCTCCTCCTCCTCCTCCTCCTCCTCCTCCTCCTCCCCTCCCCCTCCACCTCCCCCTCCCCTCCTCCTCCCCTCCTCCTCCTCCTCCTCCTCCTCCTCCTCCTCCTCCTCCTCCTCCTCCTCCTCCTCCTAACACCGTCTTCCCCCCTCGGAGAGAGGACCCCTTCCCCCACGAGGTGCGAGAGGGTCGCCTGTGAGCCGAGGGCTCGAAATGTCTCGAAAGATCGGCTCGGATGCGCTCTGTTGGGTCCCTCTTGGGGCTCTCTTGGAGCCCTCTGAGGCAGTCTATGGGGATTCTTGGGCCGTCTGGGAGACATATTGGGCTGTCTTGAGGACCCTCATGGGTCGTCTTGGACGGTGTTCAGACCGAGCGAGCGAGCATTCCAAACACACACGATTTCATGCAGGCATGGGGCGATGCTCGCCTCTAGGCGGCCTCTTGGGGGTGTACGTTTGGAGCGTTCTTGGGGCGATCGTGACGCCATCTTGGTCTATATTGGGAACGTCGAGGCCATGCGTGCGGTCTCATGACGCCGTTTGAATGTCGACAATGTGTATTGGACGACTCTTCAGATGGGTCCCGCAACCATAGGGTCACAATTGGTTACGGGGGGGGCTCTATTTGTCCTTCTGTGCCAGGGGCGGCCAGTGGGCCCACCACTCCGACATTTTAGCTGCTCCATGATATTGGTGTACGTCCCCGATGATCGTTCCTGATACCTCTTATTGAGATACGTTCTGGATGTCTGTGGAAGGCTTGACAGAGTGACGCCTGGACGGCATGGCGCCGTAACGCCTCCCTGGTGGGGCTCGCGAGGCGGGATCTCGAGGCGGGGTCCCTGGGGACCGCCGAGACCGTTTGGGCCCGGCGGCCGCGGTATGCTGGGAGGGTGAGGCGAATCGGGAGCTCTTTCTTTAAGGCCTCAGAACAATCCCCACCAATCGGGTGGGGAACCTAAACTCGCCATCGCTCGGACGTCCACTCCACGTGTATTTGTGGTTCTCGTGCGTGTTGTTGTTGCCCGATGATCCAGGATGCTCCGCGATGGTCCTCGCCGAGAGAAAATGCACACGTCCGAGCGATGCCAAGCAACAACTCATCAGAAACCCTCCGACAAAAGTCCGAGGGCAAGGGGCCAGGGCGGCGTCGGGGTGTCGGCCCCGCCCCACGTGGAGCGTCGGGGCGGCGCCTTGAGGTAGAGCTTGTCGTCCTTGAGGGTGGCCTCAGCGAGCACGAGCTGCTCCCTGCATGGAGTCGTGGAGACGTAAGACTCGGCTTAACGGGACTCGGGTTAGCCTGACGGGGACATCATGAAAGTGACGAGACCCAACTTGAAACTTGACGCGACCTCCCGCTGCAAACATCCCACGAAAACCGAACCGTCAAAATCAGGGACGCGCTCGTCGAAAGGCGCTGGCAAACCCGAGTTCAAGCGTGCTCGAGTCCGACGCTTCCCCAATAGAGGGCAATGGAGGTGGAGAAGGGGCGAAGACCCTCAGATCTCGGCGTCACAACGGCATCGTGACAGCCGGGTTTTCGTCGTGTTCGGCCCTATGCGGCCGTTTCCCAGCCCCGGGCGGCCGTTGTCGAAGCCCAGGGGGGGCGACGCCACGAAAAAAATGCAACGTCGGAGGGGAGCGGAGGGAAGAGAAGAAGGGGTTGAGGACGCAAGAGGTACGGCAGGTTAGCGTCGTGCCGACTTCGGCGTTGGTTTCTGACACCGCGGGGATCGTTCAACATTGAACGAACGGCCGTTTCCGAAACCCGTTCGACATCGACCGATTCTGTGTCGCCGCTGGCGTTCAACGTGGAACGCCGCCAGTGGAGTCGCCACGACGCGAACCTGCCGTGAGAGGAGGACGAAGGGGGAAGAAGGATGAGGCAAAAGGGGGCACGCCTCCAGGGAGGGCGAGGAGGACAAGGAGCAAGTCTCGTTGACAGCAGGCTGTAAGATGATGGGGAGGAGCAGGGAGGAGAGAGGAGCCTCAGGGTGGAGGGCAGGAGGGAGTATTTCTTCGTTCACCGCGGGGCTCTGCTCTGGGCGTGCTCCGCCGACCGGGCCTCCTGGGGCCGAGACAGCATCAAGAGTGGGAGGGCGGGAGCACCGGCTCAAACACGCCAGAACTGAGCGGGGAAAGGCAAAGCACCCGCCGATCCTGGCCCTGGCCCCTACCAGAAGACGCCGCGCACCGGGGAGGCGGCCGCCCAGAGCGAGCCACGGAGCACTGGCCTGTGGTGCCCGCTCCTGGCTCGTCCCGGCGCGCGCGAGCGCGCCTCCGCCCGAGCACGCTGGGTCCTCGCCTGCTGCTCCTCGCTGAGCGCGGGAGGCGGTGGGGAAGCGTGGGAGGAGCAGGAGAGGGAGCCTCGGAGGGCCAGGCGAAGGGGCAGAGGGAGAAACTCTCCAAGGCCCGGGTCTGCAGCCGAAGGGCGCTGCGACGGGAGCGGGCCCTCCAGTGGATCGGAGTCCTCGCTCGACATCTCGACTCTGGCATCAGGAACTGCCGCCATCCGTGGCAAGGAAGGAACGGGCCAACTCCGGGTCGGCACGAGACCTGAAACCATACATTTCACCAGCAAGGCTGGGGGCTCGAGCCGCGTTCTCTCGAGGACCAGAGTGGCCCACGACGCGCTCGAAGTCACTCTGGCGGCGCCCGCGCTCGATACTGGAAAAGATGGGCGGCATTATCATCCCGCGATGTCTTCTTCTCTTGCTGCTTACCCTCTCATCGGCGTCCCGAGACCACGGAATCAAAACCTCGAGGAGACGGGACAAAATGTCGGGAGCGTCAGCCTCGAACTCAAGGTCGGCAACCTCACTGTCATCGGTAATGATCTGCAGAACGCTGCTAATGATGGCTCAATCCAGGGACCGGCACAAGTTGCCAGGGTATGCAAGGGCTCCCAGCTTCGCGCTTCGCGCTGCGCGAAGCGCGAAGTGCGAATAACTTCGCGCTCTCGCGCCGCCTCCCAGGGGAGAAGAGGACGAGGGGGAGGAGGAGGAGGAGAAGGAATGGGAGCCGAACCGCGAAGCGCAAAGCGCGAATAACGTCGCGCCCTCGAGGGCGCCCTTGGGTATGTCTTCTTGGCCTGGGTCCTCCAAAATGCGCCTGGCGAAGGACCCAACCATATGCAGTTGTGAGCACCGCAATTATGAATATCTTCTTCGGTGCTCCCTATGGGGCCACGAAGCGCTGTACTGGGTGGGTGAAACGCAGGGAGCAAGAAGGCTGTGCTGGGTGGTGGCTGACGCATGCGGGCGGTGCCACTAGGACCTTCGGTGGAGCTCCCTATGGGGCCACGAAACGCTGTACTGGGTGGGTGAAACGCAGGGGGCAAGGGCTGTGCTGGGCGGTGGCTGACGCATTCGGGCGGTGCCACTGAGACCTTCGGTGGAGCTCCCTATGGGGCCACGAAGCGCTGTACTGGGTGGGTGAAACGCAGGGAGCAAGGGCTGTGCTGGGTGGTGGCTGACGCATTCGGGCGGTGCCACTGGGACCTTCAGTGGAGCTCCCTATGGGGCCACGAAGCGCTGTACTGGGTGGGTGAAACGCAGGGAGCAGGGGGAGGAGGGCCACGAAACGCTGTACTGGGTGGGGGGACGCATGCGGACGGTAGACCTGGAACCTTCGGTGGAGGTCCCTATGGGGCCACGAAGCGCTGTCCTGGGTGGGTGAAACGCAGGGAGGAGGGGGAGGAGGGCCACGAAACGCTGCACTGGGTGGGGGGGGACGCATGCCGACGGTAGACCTGGAACCTTCGGTGGAGCTCCCTATGGGGCCACGAAGCGCTGTCCTGGGTGGGTGAAACGCAGGGAGGAGGGGGAGGAGGGCCACGAAACGCTGCACTGGGTGGGTGGGGACGCATGCGGACGGTAGACCTGGAACCTTCGGTGGAGATCCCTATGGGGCCACGAAACGGTGTACTGGGTGGGTGAAACGCAGGGAGGGGCAAAAGCGTGATGTTGCCTCCCCAGTCGCCCCAGAAAACCTGCTTGGCGTTGTCAGATCCCTTACCTCGGAACTGAAAAACGGCCCCTGGTTTCCCTCTGCGTGGAGACATGTGCCGCTTGGCCCGAACGCATCGAACACAATGCTGGCGGCGAACGGCGCAAGCTTGAGCAGGACCTCTTGACAAGCAAACATCATGAACATGACATCACCGAACACACCATTCAATGGTGTTCAGTGTAAGTCGGAGGGACATCTGAAACAGCAGAAATTCCAACCGATCTAGCATCACGCACTGGGAGGCGTAAGTATACGCCCAGCTCGAGCAATTGCAGCTGCGCCTCTTGCATCACCAAGGACATGATAAGTTGTGCACCAGGTCACCTAACTGTTGCCCTGGCCCTGGATCAATCAGAGCCCTGGCCAGGCCTGACCTAACTGTTGCCACTGACCCTGGCCTGGAAGGGGGGAGGAGGTGAGAGGAAAGAAGGAGAAGGGGCGAAAATAAGGAGGCCGATGAGGGCATCCTCGCTGCGGCGATGGTGCCCTTGAGCGTCTCGACCGCCGCGGTCAGGTCGAGCATCGAGTTGCCGTTGTTGTCCATCTGGGTGCCGAAGTCCTTGCGGGCCGTGGGCCCAGGCGAGAGGCGGGTGGCCCGAGGGTGGGCGCCTCATCGTACCCTCCACTGCAGCCCCAGAAAAGTTTTCTCTGAACGCCGCCACACACGCACGTGTCGAGCCACGGCGTGTCGCGAATGTCCACGCCCATGCCGCCCGCCATGGTGTAGCGCAGTCGTGCCAATTGTGGGCCACATTGGGGATTCATGACACCGTGCCATCACTTCGGTTTGTACACGCCCACCACGACGTGTGGTCATTAACCGTTCATTGTCGAAGTATCCGTGGCACATCCCACTGCGTGTTGAGACTGCATGGCGACCATACCAAATGTAAACCAATCGTACCGAGATTCGATGCTATTTCTCTTCTGCAGTATACCACCTCGGATCACCACCGCAAATTGTGGACGTGCCGAACGAAACGGAACCGACACCATGCTCAACGACGGGAACGCACACACACACACACACACATGCAAGTTCTGAGAGCGCCCCTGGGCCGACACTGGGCCGAAACTGAACCAAAACACGGCCAGGCCAGGCAACTTGTGAGGACGTCCGGGTCACAACCATGCCAAAGCGAAACCAAGCAAATGTTGAGGACGTCTCGCGCGAAACCGGGCCCAAACCAGAGCCACACCAAGCAAATTCTGAGGACGTCTCAAGCGACGTCTGGCCCAGCCAAACCAGGGGCCAAAGAGGCAAATTCTGAGAATGTCTCAAGCGGGGCGCGCGGTCAAACCAAACAAAACCAAGCCAAACCGGGGGCCAAACCAGGCAAATTTGGACGACGTCCCAAGCAGAATCGCCCAAACCAGGCTCCATCCACTCCCCTCATCAAAATTTAAAGTTTTGAATTGAAAATATGGATCGTCCCCATTGCAAGAGGAAATAATGTGCCGAATTTTGTGACGAGGGCGTTTGGACCGCGCGCCCGCTGATGCGGACAGGGTTGGGCGCAGAACCCTGCATGTTTCATTCGGGCGTTGTTGGGGCCTGGGTGTGGCGTTAGGAGAAATACTTCCGAGCCTGATCAGCCTCGGAAGAGTTTTTCGTTTTATTTTTCTGAACGCCGCCACACGCGCCCATGTCGATCCACAACGCATTGGGGATGTCCACGCCCATGCCGCCCGCCATGTTTTAGCGCAGTCGTGCCATACGGGGGCCAATTTGTACGCATGACACCGTGCCATCACTTCGGTTTGTACACGCACACCACGACGTGCGTTAATCAAACTAACCGTTCACTGCCGAAGCATACGTGGCGCATCCCACTGTGCGTTGAGACCGCATGGCGACCGTACCAGGTGTTAACCAACCGTACCGACATTCGATGACATTTCTCTTCTGCAGTATGCCACCTCGGATCACCACCACAAATTGTGTGGACGTGTCGAACGAAACGGAACCGACACCATGCTCAACGACGGAAAAGCACATGCAAGTTCTGAGAGCGCCCCTGGGCCGACACTGGGCCGAAACTTAACCAAAACACGGCCAGGCCAAGCAACTAGTGAGGACGTCTGGGTTACAACCATGCCAAACCAACGCGAAACCAAGCAAAGATTGAGGACGACTCGCGCGAAACCGGGCCCAAACCAGGAGCCACACCAGGCAAATTCTGAGGACGTCTCAAGCGACATCGGGCCCAGCCAAACCAGGGGCCAAACCAGGCAAATTCTGAGAATGTGTCATGCGGGGCGCGCGGTCAAACCAGGCAAAACCAAGCAAAACCAAACCACACCGGGGGCCAAACCAGACAAATTTGGAGGACGTCTCAAGCAGAATCGCCCAAACCAGGCTCCGTCCACTCCCCTCATCAAAATTCAACATTCTGGATTGAAAGAATGGATGATCCCAGGAAGCCCACCGCAAGAGGAACCACCGTGTCGAATTTTGTTAAGAGGGCGTTTGGACCGCGCGCCCGCTGATGCGGACGGGGTTGGGCGCAGAACCCTGCATTTTTCACTCGGGCGTTGTTGGGGCCTTGGTGTGGCGTTAGGAGAAATACTTCTGAGGCTGATCAGCCTCGGAAGAGGTTTCTTCTGAACGCCGCCACACACGCCCATGCCGATCCACAGCGCATTGGGGATGTCCACGCCCATGCCGCCCGCCATGTTGTAGCGCAGTCGTGCCATACGGGGGCCGATTTGTACGCATGTCACCGTGCCATCACTTCGGTTTGTACACGCCCACCACGACTTGCGTTAATTAACCGCTCACTGCCGAAGTATACGTGGCGCATCCCACTGTGTGTTGAGACTGCATGGCGACCATACCAAATGTTAACCAATCGTACCGACATTCGGTGAGACTTCTCTTCTGCAATATGCCACCTCGGATCACCACCGCAAATTGTGTGGACGTTTCAACGAAACGGCACCGACACCATGCCAAACGACGGAAACGCACACATGCAAATTCTGAGAGCGTCCCTGGGCCGACACTGGGCAGAAACTAAACCAAAACAAAACCAGGTCAGGTAACTTGTGAGGACGTCTAGGTCAAGATCATGCCAAGCCAAGGCGAGACGACACAAATGTTGAGCGACACCGGGCCCAAACCAGGGCCACACCAGGCAAATTCTAAGGGCGTCTCAAGCGAAATCGGGCCCAAACCGAACCAAACCAGGGGCCAAACCAGGCAAATTCTGAGGATGTCTCAGGCGGGGAGCGCGGCCAGACCAGGCAAAACCAGACCAAACCAAGCCAACCCTGGGGCCAAATCAGGCAGATTTTGATGAAGTCCCAGGCAGAATCGCCGAAACCAAGCTCCATCCACTCTCCTTGAGCAAATTCATATTCAAGGAATGGATTGCCCAAGAGGGCCCACCGCAAGAGGAAGCCCGTTTAAAACTTTGCGATGGGGGCGTTTGGACCGCGCGCCCGCTGATGCGGACGGGGTTGGGCGCAGAAGCCTTCATTTCTCATTCGGGCGTTGTTTGGGCCTTGCGCTTGGTATGCTGTTGGTGGCTGATATTGTAATCTTTTTGCGGCTTTTCTCGGTGCCGTCGGCGTGATAGTGCGGTTGTCGTAGTCGCACCCGGCCGTTGTCCATGCGACGAGCTCCGTCCAAGTACGAGCTATGAAACGTTGGTGACATTGATTGTGGTCCTCTGTGTCCCAAGTACCCATGGCAGTCCATCGCGTCGGTATAGTGCAAATCGGTAGAAAGGGATGTCGTAAGGCCGTTGTGACCAGCGGCTGGATCTAACGTCGTGCCAACTCGATATCTTCCACTTGGTGAAAGCGTCGTTCAGTCTTCGGCTGAGCATCTGGAAATAAGACTGACTGATATCTGGAAGGTACGCAATTGTGATGCGACTCTGTTGCACTGTGTAGGCCCAGCGTTTCCATGTGGGCACTGGAATGGGCACTGGGATGTATTCGTACCCAAGGTGTACTGATATGTAAACAAGCAGATTGTCAAATCTTCCTCGACCTCCTCATCCTCCTCCCCATCCTCTTCCTCTTCCTCCCCCTCATGCTCCTCCTCCTCCTCCTCCTCCTCCTCCTCCTCCCTCCCTTGTCCTTACGAGTAACTCCGATCTGTCGCGCCGCCAGGCGTGTTGGTATGGCGGGCCAGGAGTCTCGCCTGAAACATCCTCACCACTTGTGATCCTGAAGCTTGGAATTTGATTTGCGGCCGGTTCACGGATGGAGGACGGGTCCCTCTCAAAATAGAGCTCTCCCGTTAGCGACGCGCACATTCGCCCTAGAAGTTTGCAAGAAATTCACTGGTGGACGGTGTTTTTGTTCGAGAATGGTACTCTCGCCTTAGCGCCGCGCAAATTCGTCTCAAAAATTGCAACAGCGCTCGCAATCTCTTCTTCAGGGCAACATTAACAGGATGGACGACTGCTCTTTTCAAAATGGAGTCATCCTCTGGGACACCAGGAAGGCTCAAGACCCGAAACGTTAACTGACGTCGGGCTGCACGGATGAGTCGTCCCTTGGAACTTCCTCTGGCCATCGCTCGGACGTCCATTCCCTATGCTTTCTTCGCGAAATGATCGAGGATGCTCCTCGATGGTCCTTGCCGAAGGACAAATCCACACGTCCGAGAGATGCCAAGAATGATGACAGCAACAAGTACACGGATGGGGGGCGGTCCTTCTCTCGAAAGGGGGCGCATCGCTGGACACCTCGTTAACCGGTACGATATTTATCGCGCCCCTGACTACGCGACAGAAAAAAAGCATTACAACTCCTTTTTCAATGCGGGACCCTCGCCAAAAGGGCAGGCCCAAGTGTGCTGGTATTTCATGGGGGGCGCTGCTTGTAGCGAGAAGGAGCACTTGTAGGGGTGTGTGAGAAAAGTGACTAGGGACGGGATGGTTTCCTCTGGTTCTCGTTCTCCTTCTCGTCTTCCTCCTCCACCTCCTCCTCCTCCTCCGACGACGACGACGACGACGACGAAGACGATGGCGGCGGCGGCAACCACAGCAACGGCGACTACAACGGTCGAGGAGCTCGCCCGGACCACGCCGCGGCAACCCGAGGGGTCCAGCAGGGTCGTGTCGCAGATGGACTTCGTCTTGGACCACTCGTCGTCCTGTGGGGCACGGCGCCATTCCCGGGGGGAGGGCTGCCGAAATTTCGCCCACAGCGGTCGACGATCGAGCTTTCCCCACCCGACAGGTTGGGGATGCTTGATCGAGCGGAAACTCCAGACCCGCCTCGCACAGCCTGGGTTCCGCGATTGCCGGGCCCAAAGTGTGCCACCGCTCCCTAGGTACAGTCGGGCTGCTGAAAGAAGGAACGCTAAATAAGGAACGAAGCTCCTCCTTGGCCCTGTAAGCGCCTCCGTGACACAGGAGGGCAAGAGGAACAGCACTGGAGGAACCTAAGGAACATCGAGCCCCTTCCGAACCCAAACTGTTCCTTATTTCAGCGTCTTGACTGTATCACGCCTCGCGTCTTCGATGAATGACGCATGCATGCCGCGGCCGCGAGGCCCAGAGTGTGGCACTCCCTAGGACCGCTCGAAGCAGTATGCTTGTTTGCTTAGGGTCGGCGCCCGTGCTCGGGAATTGGCATGACAAAGGGCAACTGTAGCTGCTTTCACTCCTTCCATGTCCATCTCGAGTGCCGACGTTGATCTGAAAGCTTTTGTAAACAACCCACGACGATCTGCTCATGACCGGCGTGTGCGAGCAACTGCACGCCATGCGCTTCACCAAACACTCCAACCCTGCCGACGATCGAAGACCGATGGTTTTGGCCGCCATCTTTCTGCCCAGCTCCCCAGTGATTGAGGTACTGACTGGTTTTGAATCGAATGTTGTTTGCCCGACCTTCTCCCGCCTCCTCCAGATGCCTCCATGCTTCCTGCTTCCTGTCCTCTCCCGCTCGCCCTGGTAGGCTGCCACTTGCACAACTGTTGCCACTTTCATGGGCTTCTGGGAGGTCCAGCGGGGTTGGGTGCTACACACATCCACACTAGAACTCGCAGCTCCCTGGGGGGCTGCAACTGCGGAGCTGTCGCCTCTTTGGCGGGCTCTTGGGAGGTCCAGCGGAGTGGTGTCCTAACGTGCGTACTGCATACTTGACCTCGCAGCTCCCTGACGGGATACCACCTGCGCAACCGTCCTACGCACATCCTTACTATAGCTCGCGCTTTCTGGGGGGCTGCCACCTGCGCAACTGTCGCCGCTTTCGTGGTTTCCTGGAAGGTCCGTGTCCTGCAGTCCAAACTGGACCTCGCGGCTCCCTGGCGGGATGCCACCTGCGCAACTGTGGCGGGATCTTGGGAGGTCCAGCGGCGTGGTGTCCCACGCACATCCTTACTATAGCTCGCGCTTCCTGGGCGGCTGCCCACTGCGCAAGTGTCGCTACTCTCGCGGGCTCCTGGGAGGTCCAGCGGAGCGACGGGCCACGCATACCCAAATGAGAGATCGCCTCTCTGGGAGCTGCCTCCTGTGCGTTTGACAGGGACCGCGTGCCTGGTCGAGTGTTCTCGTTGATGAAGCCACTTGTTGCAAACGGGTTGGGTTCGTCCCTGGCCTCTGGGGGCCTCCGGCGACCCGCTTCCATGAGGACCACGTCGTCGCCCTCGCACTCACAAACGTGTTTCTCAGCCCCCTTGCCGTTCCTCGTCCCTCACTGTCCTCCCCTCCGAGCCCGGGGGCGCAACAAGAATCATGGCGAGGACGGGAGGCCGCCCCGTGCCGGGCCCAAGGAGCCTCACGAATCGATCCGGCACGAAAGAACATGCTGTACGGAAGCTCCAAGAAGCTGGACATCGGGGCTCCGCGTTAGTTCCTTTACCACTTTCCTGACCCCTCTGTCCCCGTCATCCCCTGCTTTCCCCTCCCCTGGGCCCCTAGCCTCTGCTCATCTCCCCTCATCGCCCAAAGTTCTCGACCCACCCCTGTCCCTCCCCTCCCCCCCCAGATGGTCCCGAGCCTCCGGATGCTTGACCCTCCTCCAGAATGTTGGAAGAACTCCCCAGCTTTGAAACTCGTCTCTGAAGGCCTTGGTCCTCCGTGCTGGCAGGAGAGCCCAGGATCGGATCGACAAGTCGGATCGGCGATCGACATGAATCGGATCGTCGGAAATCGGCAGCTGAGTCGGGAAAAGTCGAATCGGCAGAAATCGGCAGGCTAGTATGCCTCCAAGAAGAAATCGGAACTCAAATGGGAATCCCAGGTCGAATCGAATCGGAATCGGAAACCATCGAAATCGAATCGAATCGAATCGGAGGAATCGAAACGAGCCCTGGAGTCTCCTGGAGGCTGAACCTCTGCGCGTCCTCGCCCATTTCGCACTCGCCATCGCCGTTCGCCGTCGTCGACGCCGTCTTCCCCGCTGGGGGGGCGCGCTCCAGCTCGGTCTTCTTGCCGCCGAACTCGCCCAGCAGCTTCGTGAGCGTGTCGATGATCGGCTGCGAGAAGAATTTGTACTCCGGGCTCAGCGGGTCCACCCTGCCGCAGGAGAGGAAAGAGGGGGCAGGGAGGAGCGTCGGGCGGCCGAAGAGCAAAGAAGGGAGCAAGAGAGCGAGAGAGGATGACCGTGAACCCAAGCTACTGATGCTGCTATGCACCCTCCCCCCCGCCCCCGTCCCAAGCCCGCTTCTCGTGCACCAAGAGAAGTCGTCTGGGGAACCGAACTCTATACATCGACGCCTTTTTGCACAAGAAAGCGGATCCAATGTTTCGTTGTTTCCCTGGGAGACGGTGAATCAAGCATACACTACACCACCCCGACGTCGTCCCCGACCCTCAAGAAGGCCACGGATTGAAAAACAGCCCGCCACTGGTGCTGTATATGTTCCAGTTTCCGATCATCATCACCCTCGCTGCTGAGAGAGCTCGCTACAGAGGTGAGGGCTGCGTGGGCCCGCAGGGGTCTGTCACGCGCACCAGCGAGGATCTTCACAGCCAGCCGCACCACGTGGACACGGCACAATGAGCTTGGCAAGACATCGGAACGCACTCGATCCACGAGCTGGAGGAGGCTTCACGGAACACGTGCCGAGCGTCGAAGCGGAAGCCTGCTGCTGAGGGTGAACCTGCAGTCCTGCCGTGCAGCTGCTGGTGCTGTCCAGCTGTGTGGCCACAGCCTGTGATGAGTCTGCTCTGGAAGCTCGCTCTGGAAAAGGGAGCCGCTCTCCCTGATAATGAGATTTCCCATGAGGATCTCCTTGGAGGTTCCTTGAGATCCATGGTTAATTCCCGAGAAGAGACTCGAGATCCTTGGAGATCCCTTGAGATTCCATTGAAGCTCCCTGGAGAATCTCTCGCGAGCTCCACTGTGAATTCCCACGAGATCCCTCCTTGGGACGGAACCCGGCCTCCACCCGTGGAGCGCCGGGCAGCTCCGGATCCCAGGACGATGCCGGGGGACGAGGGCTCGGTCGAGAAACTCATGCTGAGCTCCCTGCTGTCCTTCCATGCAGGAGAGCCCAAGATCGGATCGACAAGTCGGATCGGCGATCGACATGAATCGGATCGTCGGAAATCGGCAGCTGAGCCGGGAAAAGTCGGATCGGCAGAAATCGGCAGGCTAGTATGCCTCCAATAAGAAATCGGAACTCAAATGGGAATCCCTTATCGAATCGAATCGGAATCGGAAACCATCGAAATCGAATCGAATCGGAGGAATCGAAACGAGCCCTGTCCATGCCACCTGTTGGAAACTCTACGCCTTCGGAACGAAAAAAAGAAAATACAGCACTCTTCGAGCGAGAAGAGCAGCTTCAGGACGGCCCGCAGTCCCGACGCGTAGCAGCTCTGAGCTCATGCCCGAGGCTTTCTATTAGGCGGGAGCATCAAACGATAACTGGAAGAAGAGGTACCATCCATGCGCGTGCTGGTTGGAATACAATGCTCTCGGATCACATGGTGAAGGCGAGCCCCGACCAAACAAAATGTGTTGGCACGATGCCATGTTGGGCTTGTCCTGGATATTCCCGCCAGCCCTCTAGGCGTAAGTGTGTTAGAGAGCCTCTTCCTGCAAGCCCCCTTCTTCCCCGTCGGGGAGGGATCTACCCCTCCCCCTACCCCAGTCTGAAGTGACTATGGTAAGTCAAATAGCATCCGGTTCCATGGGAAGCGGATGGCAAATAGCGTCCGGTATCGTACTGAGGTTGTTCAATAAGAGGAATGGACGGATAAGATAGGATAAGATCGATGTAATGATCTTTCCAGCACATAGCGAGCACAAGCAGTGTCCGGGCAAATCGGGCGCGCCTGCCTTGAGCCAAAGGCAACGGCGCGCGAGCTATACTCCCGATTCTATATAACATCTCCCAAAGAGCTACCCTTAAAGTCGGGAGGGGAGGAGACGGAGAGTATAGCCGCGCACCCGTTAGGCTCTACAAAGGCCGCGCGCACGACTGTTTGCAAGAAAAACAGTGCGTACAGTCTGGCCTAGCACCAGACTGTAGGGCGAGTTTCCTCGCGAAGCATTTCACGCAAATACGAGATAGCCCCTTGGACGTCAGAGGGCTATCGGCCCGGCTAGAGGTAAGCCAAACGGGCTATACCTCACCGAGCAAACGGATATTAAGGCAAAGAGCCTGAACCAAACCGAACAGGCTCGTTACCAAGCGTGAAATGGTAGGCTCGTTTCCGAGCACCTAGAAGGGCGCCTCTGTATTAGGCGCCCATGCTGGCAAACTGGACCGCGGGGGCAACAAGGACATACTAAAATTGATTAGACTTAGGCTTGTTTCTGTCCTCGGGACCCCGAAAGGGAACAAACTGCTTCACGTCATACTTAAATGACTGATTGCCTGACATCGCTTCCAAAAGCAGCTCCCGATCGATACTCCCCTTTGTATGCCCATCTGCGGTCATATCTCTAGTATCACACCACTGCACATTATGCATTATACCTATATCCATGAGCTCACGTATCCAGCTGATATGTCCCAGCAAAGTCCGTTCCGTCGGTATCTTAAGACCTTTGCTAGATAACGGTTTGTATACAGACTCAGCGTCTATGGTAAGGGATACTTTAATAGCTAGGCCTCCAACTTCACGCATATCTCGTAGTTGTCGTGGAGTCAGAACCCCTGCCTTTAGCTCGTGGAGAGTGACGAGCGCAGGGTAGCACTCATCAAGGTTGTGTGCAGCTGCAAGTGCCTCAGCGGCATAGCTGGACCTCACCTGCAGCCGATGTGATTTGCATAGTCCGTCACAAAGGTGAATGACTGGTTCGCCGTAGTACGTTGGCCCCGCGTATGCCGTAGCCCTTGGTCTCATCGCCCTCCTCCCCGGTGGGCTTCCGATACCCCGAATCACTGTGTATGTCAACTTCGTTCGTCGGTTTCATCCGAGGGAAGGTGATGCGTTTCGGGCTGCTGATCAGCGTTCGCGCCACAGCATTCAGTCGTCTGACTTGTAGGTTGGTGGGCTCTTGGATTTTCTGAAGAGAGACCACATACACCATAAGCCAGACTTGAGTACGAAGGGCATGGGCGAGGGCTCCTCGCAGGCTGACAAACATGTCGGCGATGAGTTTGGTGGCTTTGGCGTCGGCCGCCGCTCCTGTGAGTTCGGGGTGTGTGATAGGACGTAGTTGATTAATGTACTCGTCCTGATCCATGATCACGTCCCCCTGGTCATTCTTGGTGTAGCGGACGGCGCAGTTCGTATAGGAATGTTTGCTAAGCTTGCATTTGCCAAACACCTTTTCGACACGTTGTACATAGTTGTCTATATTTGTCTCTAGGCCTGTCATATTGATGTCGTCGACATGCTTTGATGTTAACAGATCTTGACTGAATTCAAATTCGGGATCATAACTTGTCGGTGCGAGGCCTATAGCTCGTGTGGTCGTACGAAGCTTGAAGGAGAACGCTCTTGGGGCGTCCTTTGTACCCGTCCCTGGCTTGAGGCACCTGAGGCAGCGTCGGCTTTCGTCGTAGGGCGAGAAGCCGGGCAGTGTACGAAGTACCTGGGCGCTTCCTGGTGGAAGAGTGAAGCAAACCATGCGAGTTTCCTCGCCGGTGGCATGAACAAGTTCCTCATAGGTCAAACCCTTGAGGAACGCTTTGTCGATATCCATGGATGCTAAGATCCACTCTGGATGGCATGCCGCCTCACTTGCCAGGAGCCCCTGGGACTGCCTTCGAGCAGTTCCTGAGAAGGTTTCCACATCGAACGCCTCAGTGTCCATAAATCCACGAAGGACAAGTCTGAGACGGATGGTTTTAACGTTCTCGGTGCCTACCTTCACAAACTTCCACTTATATACATATCTGGATGTCATGAAGTTGGAAGCTTTAGATAGGTCATACATCTCAAAACACCGGTTATCGCCAGATCTTGAGTTCGGTGTACAAAGCTTCACTAACCTCTTTAGGGTGTGCTGCTATGTCGGCTTTGGTGAGTAGGTCGTCTTCCTTAACTACCACAGCACGTTTAGTAGCCGAGGATACGTATACTCTCATCGTTGCGACCACACCAGTGTCGAGCTGTGCAAATTGAGTCTGATCCAACACTACCTTTGACATTTCTGGTGTAAAACATAACTCAACACAAGGACCATGTTCATCACTGTCAAGAGAATAACCCTCGCCAGGTGTAGTTGAGCATTGAGAGACAAGACAGGGCTCTTGTGGTTCAGGCTCGTCCCCGAGCGTTTCCGACACTACGATATCTTCTTCGTCCACGGATGCTGAAACCAGAACACATTGGTCGGGCAGCATAGTTGTTGGGACGCAGTAAAGATGATCGTCGGTGATCGTTGTGGGATGAAGGTCCATACGTAACTCATCGTACCACTCCTCCAGCATCATGGTTTCCATGTCATGTTCCTCGTTTTCTTCGTAGATTGTAGACAGACGGCCTTCAATTGGTGATGAAGCACCTGGGGTGTCTGGTGGAGGCCTGTTTCCAGGCGGGTCGTGTTCTCCAGACGTGGTGCCCGAGTGCTGATACTTGGCCAGGTCGTCATGAAATCCTAAGGAAGGACCATGTGGCGTCAAGCATTGGATGAGTCTGGAGTGAGTGCTGCCAGTGATTTGAGAAATGTTCAGGCCAGTGCCCACGCACTCATAGTGGAAGGCTGGGTTGACGTCGTTATCGTAGTGGATCAGCGTAGACCTGGTGGCGTACTTTACTGCAGGTTGATAGGGCACACTCTTGGCCAATCCAACTGCTACTACATGTTCAACTCGGAAATAATTTCGCACGAGCTACTGTAGTGCAAGATGTACGCGCGGGTGAAACTTGCTGCCGTCTGAAAGATTGAGGTTTCCCTTATAGTCTGGAATGTAGCCGAAGACTTTGGCAGGTTTCCCTGCGCCAAGGTGTGCCACATATGTAAGGACGGTTTGCATGGCCATGTTGTCCATGCCAAGTTCCCGTGTAAGGAGGCATTCAATGTATAGCGTGTGACGAGCATCAGGATACATTACAATTACCTCACGAGGTCCTGCCTTGACGACGATGTGTCCTCTTTTGGGCACGTTGCG